ACTGCCCACAACCTAGTGTTCAACCAGCAGGACTCTGATTAGTACCTGCTCATTGTGTCTGCTGTCATCACATAAAGAAAGCACAGACTATCTATGCCCTCAGGATGCATGTGGTCATTACTCCCCTGTTGCCCTGCTACCAACACTAAATGTTACACGGGCATGATTATTGGGTACAACAAGCAAGGAGCTGCAGCAATACAATATTATTTTTAAATGTCCTGGTGAGTACCATTTTTAATGGGCACATAGTACTTGGACATTTGGCTATGAATGTCATAACATCAGCAAAGCCAGTCTAAAACAGAGCTAAGACCTCATTACGCCACTGTTATTCAAGAAGCTGTTAACTCAGAGCAGCTGGTGGACTGCAACTTAAAGAGGTATACAGTGCAAAATGCTTTGAAGCAACTCCTTCTACACACATATCACAGTAGTGTTAATTATCTGAAAGCAAGAGTTTAGAGTTTGTGCATGATAGAGCATCAGTGTTCTGATTAGTATTCATTCAATATATTCCTTACATACTAAGATTACTGTATCACACAAACACATCCTTTCCTTTTTCTTTCTAATTTCTTTCTCCACTATACCTCACCCCCATCTCCAAATGCAGTGCCTGGAATCAGGCCCAAACTTGCACACTGGGCATGTGCTGTATAGCTAAGCTATTCTCCCAGCATAGGGCATCCCCTTATAGTATATGTTATTTGCCTTTTGGGTATTAAGGGTGGGATCATTTGGCTTCCTGTTTTGTGCATAAACTAAATATGAGACTGATTTTAGCAACGATGATCTGGGAACACATGCTGTACTTAGATGCTAGAATTTCAACTGGGGGTGATAAGGAAGTCAGATTTTCTGAGACCCGGCTTCTACCAATAGAAACATAATAATTAAAAACAGGAAAGCCACCAATAACTGCAGCTACTATCATGAATTTGGTCTTGTTTTCTACCAAGAAATCTCCTAAATATGTATGCAGAAGTCAGGTAGAAGAACATAAACCTCCAGGTGACTACTCTTGGGTCCTGGAGACCATGCCTGGGGCCCACTCCAGGGATACTCTTGGAGTCTACTCTTAGGGCATAGTACTATGGTCTACTGAAGATCACTCCTGGAGGTCTTGAGAGACTACTCCTGAAGTCTACTCCTAAAGACTAATCCTGGTGCTTTCTGGGGCCAACTCATGAGATTTATTCTTGGAAACTTATGTTTGGAAACACTACTGGGGTCTAGTCCTGGAGACCACTCCTGGGACCTAACTATGGGGCACACTCCAGAGGCCAATTCCAGGGGTCTAGTCTTGGGGAATACCCCTGTAGTTTATCGAAGACCACTCCTGGAATCCACTTGTATGGTGATATTGTGTTTATGAGTTAACAAAGCTTGCCTTGAAGTTCAGAGTGCCATAGAGGCCAGCCAGTGGTGGCACACACTGCAGTCACACTGAGGAGAGGATCACCCCAGCCTTGGTATAGGTAAGAACTCTCTAGTGGTAGGCTGCTTTGCTTTTCTGATCTTCAGCTTGAACCCCAATAGCTGTCTCTGGATTTTTAATTATTTGTGTTACAAATTTGTGAGGAGACTACTACTGGGGTTATTCCTAGGGACTATTCCTGGGGCTTACTCCTGAGGTCTACTCTCTGTGTCTACTCGTGGCATCCACTCCTCAGGACCATTCCTGAGTACTCCCTGTGTCTACTCCTGGCATCCATTTCTCAGGACCACACCTGGGGCCTATTCCCTGTGCTGGCAAAGCTGCTCCACCGAGTCTGACCTGCTAGATCTTCTTTGGGGATCTCCTCTTTGCTGTGAGTTAAATCATGATTTGCTATTTTTACCTTCTGAACTACCAAGATATTAAAGTATAAGATGTTTTTTAAAAGAAATGGTAACACTTGTGCATGATCTGTTTTCATTTTGGAGAAGACCACGATCAACACACGAAATATCCCCGAGGAATGAAATCAGTGGAATTTAATAAAAGTATGCATAAGAATGGCAAATATCTTCTAGATATTGCAAATAAAGGTCAGCCACTGTTTATTCCATTCTAAATGAAAAAAAAACCCGGAAATTTTCATAGAATCAAATTCTTAGAGAAGGTTAGAAGTGGCCTAATACAGCCATTTTACACACAAATGCGACTATGCACATTGTCTGTAAAAGGAAAACCACCACAAGTCAAGCCACAACACCTAAGCACTCTCCTTTACTCAATATTTCTTGCAAAAAGGTTGAACTGAACTATTGTTGATAATAAAATTATCAGAACATTTTATTGCCACCTCTTAGGATTCTGAATTGAATGTCTGGCAAAACCTCTGAGAAGAACAAGAGGCTATATGTGATGTTAAACTCCAACAACTTTTCCATGAATATCACATTGCTTTTGGTGACTGCAGTGGGAGGTAGGCATATAGGCAACCTTTTCACTCACTGTGGCTAGGTCTAACTAGATAATGACAAAAGTCTGGCGATATGGAGAGAAAATGATCTAATATGCTGAAAATGGATAAACCATCCATAGCTATAATTCTGATTCATTAAAGAAAAATATATAGGCAAAATGGAGGAAACAAGATGGACTTGTAAGTCACATAACAATTAGCAACTCTATATATGCTATAAGCCATGTGTCTGTACTGTGTGTAAATATGAACTCTATAGCCATTTATACAGTTATTACATTTTTAAATATATCAAGCTGATCAAATCCACATACTGTGAAAAACATGCTCACTAACCAAGAATACGAAACCCAGCCTCTGGTTCTTACATGGTCCAGGGGCCTTGTCTTTAAGCCCTCGCTCCTCATAATATGTACCAAATATCAGTAACTCATGCTATGTAATGCAGCACGCACATGCATTATAGAACCTTGTAATATTTATTTTTCCATCATTCCCCCGGAGGATGTACAGTGAAATTTGTACAAGTTACCCGAAACCTGATATGGTTCCATTATAACTTTACTTAGGTGAGAAGAAGATGCTGGTAGCTCACCAGTATAACCTCAAATGATATGTTTCAATTCATACTAAGCAACCATGATCATGACTCATGATCTGCCCCCTCCAATAATAAATGAAAACAGTCAAGCAACAAGTAAGGATTTTGTTTTAACAAAAGAAAGAAAGCAGGTTGAGACAGCAGATATTTATTCCTAGTGCACTAAAAATGGTCTGGGTGAAGTTCAAAGACTCGCAGGAACAAACCTGGTGTGCAGATCAAGGAAAGCGCCCCCTCTCCCTCCAGCACTCTATGCTCAGAGTCTGAATCGTGACAACCCAAACACTGTGTGGAACCTTTTGTAAAGATCCCAGTCACCACTTTGGCACATCCATTCAGAGTGGACACAATCTACTCTTACCTGTAAAGCTACTGTTCATTTCAGGGACATCATCTTCCTCCTCATTCTCCGTGTGGACTATGCCAGCATTTTGCATATCATTGTAGGACTTTGTTCGCTTAGGGGTCGACTGCTTGGAGCCAGACTGAAGGCTGTGCAAGGCATCCGTCGTGATCACTTTCCCACTGGCTGGCTGGCTGGGAGGTTTGGGTGTCCCATAATAGTTTCCTAGGTGATGGAGAGACACATTTGCATGTTTCAAAATGAAGACTTTTTTTTTCAGCCCCAAGAATTCACATTCAAATCTCTTAGAGCATTAAAAAATGAAGCTGTAAAGCTAGAACATGCTGTATTTCATTTCTAGAATGGGTTATCAAAGACATCTTTTCTATCTAGCTAGTTATGGGGTTATAGAAGGGAAAAGGAAGCCACATGGTTTTGATGCAAAGAAGCCAGAGAGAAAACAAAAGGGGCTGAGCTGAATGGGGCGCTTCGTTGTCATTACATTTGAATTTCAATTGGTCATCTTTTTATATAGGCAGCCACATAAGGCTGAATCCAATTAAGAGTGAGGCTCACAGAAGATAAAATTCATTACTGCCAAGATCCTCCCAGGCCTCAAAGGTCGGGGTCTCTGTCTCTCTTCATGAGGGACCTGGGGCACTTCTGTAAAAGAAGGGCAGTGCGCACCACGTGGCACCTCTTAAACTGAATGGCAGGGTTGACTAGAGGGGTTATGCCAGGTGGGAACAAATCCTTGCCAAGTTTCAACAGAAAACTGTTTCACTGGTGCCCCCTGGGGGAAATCTCTCTTCAATTAATGGTCTTCCTTTGCTTCGAGCCATCTTCAATTCCCCCATGTTTAGTATGGGCCTCACTATCATCTGCTATGCAATTATGAATGATACATGAAGTGGATACTATTTGGGTTTTTTTGTTTTTGTATTTTTGTTTTTTGAGACAGAGCTTGTCTGTGTATCAGTCCTGGCTATTCTGGAACTTGCTTTGTAAACCAGGTTGGTTTCAAATTCACAGAGATCCACCTGCCTCTCTCTCTTGAGTGCTGGAATCAAAGGCATGCACCACTACTGCCCGGCAAAGTGGATACTTAAATATTTAGAAATGTGTTTTCTATTTTTGTTTATATGCTTGTTCCTATGTGTGTATATACATATACACACATGAAAGTATGTGTACTTTTATATATGTGTGCAAGTACCATGTGTAAACCATAGTGGTCAACCTTAGTTGTCATTCCTTAGATATCATTCACATTCATTTTTGAGGCAGGGTCTCCCCTTGGGGTAAAGTTTGCTGATTCAGCTAGACTAGCTAACAAGGAGGCCCTATCCATCGATTTCCTTTACCCCAGCACTGAGATTACAAGCACATCCTATTATACCCTACTCTTTTATGTGGGTTCTGAAGTCAAACAAGGTTAAACTCAGGTCTTTATACTTACATGACAAACATTTTACCAACTATGTGCCTAGTCCTAGATATGTATATTTTAGCATATTAATTTGGTATAATTACTAAATTCTAACTAGTAAGTTCAATGAACTTTCAAAATGAAAAACAGTGCTTTTAAAAAAGGTTTATTTTTAACCACATACCTTATTTCTCATAAGAGAAAATTAATCAAATGCTCCCTTTGACAGTACTTATACTAACATTAAAATAACACAGAGAAGATATGCTTGGCCACTGTGCAAGGATGACATGAAGCCACAATTATATTAAGGTGACTTAATGCCAACACCAGCTGACATGCCAATGTGGATGGGAAATTTCACAAAACCCCACCCTTAGATAAAGAGCAACAGTCAACCAATGGCTGTTGAAGGAGGGAGACTCAGTTTTCTCCAACCCCCAGTGGTCAGCTCTAAAGACATTTACATATGAGCAACCCTACATGGACTTATCGATTTGTGTGTGTATATGTAACAGTTAATAACTCAAGTCATGAGAATGAGACAGAATGGGAGTCATGGCTGGAGTTTAAGGGAGTTAGGGAGTGTAAACAGTCTAAATACAGTACTCATGAATGAAATCCTCAGAAAGTCAAAAATAAATTTAAAAAAATAATGAAAACTTTAAATGAGGAGGGTGGTAGTGGCACACACGTTTAATCCCAGCACTTGGGGGGCAGAGGCAGGAGGCTCTCTATGACTTCAAGGCCAACCTGGTCTACAAATTGAGTTTCAGGACAACCAGAGCTGTTAAACAGAGAAACCCTGTCACAAAAGTCAAAAACTGAACAAAACCAAAACAGACTTAAATAAAGAAATGGGTGAGTGGAAGAAATAATGATAGAAGTGACAATTTTCTCCTACAAATTTATGTCTAAAAGCAAGTGATATTAATATTGTCTTGAATGAAAATTTAAGAGGCACATCCCAACATGAAAAAAATTCTTGAGTACTTTAGACTCATCTAGATTTGGAAAGCATATTTGACAACCAATAGGGTAGGTGCATTGACAAAGGATGTGCTTTCCACCAGGCTTTCCCTTTTACCTATTCCTTTTCTATTTCTTTTAATGGAGCATCTGCTTCCCTGAGGTATGGTTTTTTTGGAGGGGGGGGCAAGGGAGAATGAAAGCATGGTTTGGTTTCATGCAGCCAAAGCTAGGCTTGTCTACTGCCTCTGCTTCTTGGGGCATGAACTGCCACTCTTTTATGCTTTCTGGGATTCCACGTAGAGCTCCAAGCCTACTAGCCAACCTCTCTGGCTATTTCTCTAGCCTCACATTTTTTTTTTAAAGAAAGGAAGGTTTAATAATAACAAGAGACTTTAGAAATTTAAAATTTTCTTTGTGTATGTGCATGTCTACATGGGTGTGCTGTGTTTGTTTGTGTGGATGCCTGTGGAAGCCAGAGAGAGTGTGAGATCCTCCTGGACCTGGAGTGATAGAGGGTTGTGATCTGTCCAATGTGGGTTCTGGGAACCCAAATCTGGCCATCTAGAAGAGCAGCAAGCATTCTCAATAACTGAGTCATCTTTTCAACCATAATACTTGTTTCTTTGAGCTGCATTTTAAATCAATAATTTCATGAGCACACATAAAAACATTTTCTTTTGAGAGAGATGTAACAATCCATGCCATCAGTGAACTCTGAACATATAGGAAAAAAAAACACAGGAGCTGGGAGTCAAGCAACTGCTCAGCATTTAAGAGCACTCAATGCTCTTATAGATTACTTGGAATCAGTTCCCAGCACCAACTGGACCTTTTCAGTTCTAGGCATCTGACATCCCCTTCTGACCTCTGTGAGCACAGGCATACATGTGGTACACATAAGTACAGGTAGACACAACAATCATACACATGAATAAAATAAATAAACCTTAATAAACCAGGGGGTAAAGGGCACCATGATTAAACATAGAAGACCCACAGTTGTCAGTCTTAGGAACTGGAGACTTTGGTTAAGACTTAAGCTCTCACACAGAAAGTCACCTATCAGTCTCTTACACAGAAATAAAAGAATCTATCAGATTCCCAACTTATAGGCCAAGAAGTTGGGAGGAAGAGGCTTGAAGGACGGCATCCCACAGTGGTGTGAGGGGCTAATCCCCACACAAGGAAGAGCTAGAAATACGTAAGAAACACACTCCCACTTCGTCTGTCATCTCTACAAGATCATGCAAAGACTATCTCATGCTTTCTTTAAAGGTGTGCCTAGGCCAAGTACTTACAACTTTTTCACTAACCTGAGGAGTATTTGTGAAGTTAAGGAAAGTAAGACTGTTGACTTAAAAATAAATCTCCACAGTGAATTAAACAAACAGAGATAAAGCACAACAGAATTTGATTTTAATTTCCTCCCCATTACCAATATAACAAAAGATCACACTCATTTTAGAATTAGATGTTGAATGAAGGCTGAGATCTACAAGTTAGAACCTACTGAAAATAGGGAAATAAAGGATGGGACCCTGTACTCTTAATTTCCTAAAGATTGTTGCTCAGTTTGGCGACATTCAACTGAATTCATGCTCACAAAAGTATCATTTTTAAATGAATTTACTCTCTGATATCCACAGTTTATGAGAGAAATAAATGGCTAGGAAATAAAGTTTCATGTAATTTGACAAACACATGTGGATTTTCCAGTAAGCACCTGTCCCCAGTTTTCAAGTTAAAAACAACTAGCAGATTTGTTGATGAACCTCCCCACAAGATAACCGATTTGTGTAGTCGTTTCCCATGTCTATAAAGTAGTCTCTCAGAGACAGATGACATGCATATTATTAGGTGAGCCACGTAAAGTTAAAACATGTCAAACATCAATAATGTAGTGTGGTTTAACATAATGAATATATGTGCATCAGCCATACTGGCAGTCTTGGCACTGCAGGTCAATAAAGTTTGTAAGAGAGTCCACAGTCCCAACTCACCATTAACTGTCTCTGTTATCCATGACTCATTATTCTTCCCATTAGAAACAAAACAGAAACCCTGAAATTGTGATGCTGAGGAAATGCACTATACATCTTGAATCCCTGTTATAAGGACACAAGGAGATGGTCTCCAGAAAGGCTTTCACCATGCTGAAGCTGGCACCTGAGTGAGACTAGGCAAATGCTTCATGATGATGATGTGTTTCTAACCTCTAAAATGATTCCTATTCCACATTAAGGAACCACTTGATACTATGTATTTGAAATGCGCAGAAAATTGTAAGTGACACTAAGAATTCCACTGTTAAAAGAAACAAACAAAAACAAAAGCAGGTCAGTAGTAGCCAAATAACCATCTATTCCCAGACTCTCAAGAAGTTTCCACATTGCTATCCAAAAGAGTAGCACAGTGACCCTACAGGATGATTTTGACAAACACTAGCTTGTCTGAGAAACTTTGTCCACCAGAGACAAATACTATTCACATTTTTCCAATGTTTCTTTTGCTTCATAGAAAACCTTTTATGTTGCTATGTAAGGGGGCTCAGATTTTTCACTTAACATTATGTGTTGGTTTATTCCCCATACACCATGTTAAATATAATTTGAATTAACATCCATTTAAATAGGGGAGATGTTTCTAATAGACACCAGATAAACTAATAGGTGGAGTTCCACAGACCCCACCCAACACCCAGGAAATACTGATAAGCAAGCATATGTGCAAAGCCATCAAGCCTGTTTTAGTGAGGGTTTCTACTGTTCTGATAAAACACTCAACCAAAAGCAGCCTGAGGAGGACAGGGTTTATTTCATCTTACACTACCAGGAAACAGTACCTCACTGAGGGAGATCTGAGCAGGAACTAAAGGTGGGAATCTGGAGGCAGGAACTGAGCAGAGGCCAAGGAGGAATGCTGCTTATTGGCTTGCTCAACCTGCTTTCCCTACAACCCAGGACCACCTGCCAAGGGGTATCAACTCCCCCCACCCCCATGGACTAGGCTCACTTATGTCAATCATCATTCAAGAAAAAAGTACTACAGACTTGAAGGAAACATTTTCTCAATTGAGGCTCCTCTTCTCAAGTAACTCTAGGTGGTGCCAAGATGACAACAAACAAACACACCCCCAGGACACCCAGGGAATCTAGGCTTTATGCAGATAATGTCGCCCCTACTCTTTTCTGTTGGTCTCGCCACATAAGCACTTTAGAAGGAAACCCAGGTCAGTATCTTTTTGTGACACAAAAGACTATGGCAGATTCAGGGGCTAGGCAGAGTGATGGCAAGAATGAAGTAAAACATAAAGTTTCCAAAAGTCTTCAGATAGTCTGTAAGTTGGCCTTTGAATGAATGCATCTGTCTGGACCCTGGACTTTTGGTCAGTATATGTATATGTCCTTCCCCACGTAACTGCAGGCAAGTGGGTCATGTATAGAGTCCCACAGTTATTCCAGGGCTCTATTGCCTGTACCTAGTGTCTTGGAGTCTGAGATCCAAACTGTGCCTTCCACAGAATCTCCACCTTATCAAAAATTTGCAGTGTGATCATTAAGTAGGCCAAGCCAGCCAAGGTAGAAGCACAAACCTTACAGAGAACATGCAGCATGTACAAGAGACTCTGTGTGAAGGACATAAATAATCTGAGGCACTGCAAATGATTAAAACATTAATTAAGATTATTGCTTGGCAGCTGCATCGTTTCTATGAGCCCTGAACCTGGCTGTCCCACAGAATCCATGTTACCCAACAGACACTTCCTGAGGTTCCCGGGCTTCAGCCCAAGAGGAATGTGTTCCTCTTCCTCTCTGCTATTTTCAGAACAAGTTCTACAATAAAACTCAACAGGGGTGATATGGAGGGAGGGAAGGGAAGGCAGGGGAAGAGGAAGGCAAGGCTGGCCTTAATTAACAGGCACAATCTATGGCCATGACCAAAGCCAAAGAAAATACTTTCTAACTCACACTTATAAATTAATGAGGGCTGCAAATCAATTTTTAGAAGCTTTATAAAACATTTAAGGAAGACTGTATTATCCCTGGATTTTCAGCAAAAATGAATCAACTCTGCGCAGCGTCTCAATTTACACCAAGTTGCTATTCCATTTATATCCTTAGAGAGAACCTTTATTCTAAGTACTAAGTTATATACCGGCAGTAAGATGCAAAGCTATACATCTTTTTACATAGCAAATATTAGTATTCTGAAACTTCTATGGGCAAACAGTCTAGGAACATTAATTACAGATGCTGATCCCACAGGTCAGGGTGGGCCTGATATTCAAGATTCCAACCAGTATACAGGTGATTTTGCAGCACTTCGGGGTCGCCATGCATAGACAGAGA